TGTCTGTCTGTCTGTCTGTCTATCAATCGATACCCATATCGGCAGCTATGTGTACATGAACAGGAGTTTCAGGGTAGAGTTCGTTCACTCAGGGCTTGGGGTTCCTTGAGACTCAAGACTCCCCCAAGGCAGTTTTTTAGGGTTTAGGGGTCAGGGTTTAGGGTATTCAGGGTGTGCAGAAGGGTACCCTTGGCTTTAATCCTGGGCCTTAAACCCTAAACACCCCAGAAAAACAATTCAAAAACCTAAAACCCCTAAACTTAGGCCCTAAACNNAAACCCCTGAACCCCTAAACCCGAAATCCCTAAAGCCCTAAACCCCTGAAGACCGATTTCAAGAAGCTTTCAGGTGACGCCGAAGCTGCAGGCGGCGAAAGCCTTCCGGGATGGTGGGGAGAAAGTCGCCTCGGAGCTTGCGAACGAAGGCTTGGAGAAGTTTGTGGCTCCTGGGTCCAGAAAATTAGGGTTTAGGGTTTAGGGGTTTAGGGGTCCTGGTTGAGTCGCTGCAAACCAGATGCAAAAAGGGGTTTTGGGTTTAGGGTTTAGGCCTACAAGTTGTGCTTATGCTTCGAAAAAGCGCAACCCTTTTTTTTGACGGGGATGCCGGGGAACCTATGCCCATGAGCTCTTCGTGCTGATTAGTAACCCGTAGAGCCCTTCCACAAACCCCCACTGGAGCTCGATGGAAACACTGCAACAGCCGTCGCAACCTCTGTTTATACATTTAAGGGGATGCTTCTGGAAAGCCGAGGTTCTGAAGCTGTACAAGTTGCTCTTCCGCCACGATCCCGCCGACATCCGGGAGGACGAGAGAGTGGAACAGGCACTTCGAAGCGCTGCCAAGGGGGCGAGTGCGATCCAAGCAGCCGTCACCAAGTTCGACGCCAAGCAGCTCGAGGTGTTCGATGCTGCAGTGCTGGAGCTGCAGATGGTGGAGCAGCACAGGGCGCCACGAGATAAGCTGAGCTGCTTCGTGAACGCCATCCGGCTCGTCGAGAGCATCGTGGTGGAGCGCGTCTTCCGGCAAAGAGGAGACGGCCAGCAGACGAACTGGGAGCAGCTTTTGGCTGCACTCATTTTGAAGGCTTCGCCCCCAAATCTCTATTCCAATCTGGAGTTTACTGCAGCTTTCAGACATCCATCGCTCATGGGCCCCGATGAGCGGAAAGCCCTTGCCGACCTCGCCAGCGCTTTCCTCGCAGTCATCGGCGGCAGCTCCCGGCGTCTTGCTTCCGCTGAGCTCGCCGAGAACTCTGTTGGCCAGTCTGGCTCTATGCCCTTGTGGCTGATGGATGCTGGTGTCACTTTCAACTTTTCAGACCGCTCCCCTGATGACCTCTCCCTGGGAGAGGTGGACGAACTCTTGGACGAGTACCAGAGGATGATTCGTGCCATACGAGACCTCATCTCCCCTTAGGCGTCAGGCTGTACGTCCGACCCACAACTCCTGGGGAGAGGCGCCTTGAAAAAGGTGTGGTTCGAGCGTTAGGACGAACCCTGACAATTTCCATGGCATGAACGTTGTTCCGAAAGACACCTGCCATAGCTTAGCCTGCCTTTTGATCAGGAGACAGAGAAATGGGCCCAGACGGATGGGCATCTGTCCATGTCGCGTGGATTGAACATGCTGCCTGTTGTAGACGCACATAGGTCTCGGGTTGAACTGAGACTGCGATAGACAAACCGAGAGAGAGAGAGAGAGAGAGAGAGAGAGCGAGAGAGACAACAAACTACCGAGGACTGAGGGCGAGAAGGAAAGAGGGAGAGAGAGAGAGAGTGAGCGGTTCCAGCTCACCTCCCAATGCCAGACTTGGAACCTTAGATGTCCCTGTAGCAATCTCAGACCCTCTAACGCCATGCCAGCCAAGTGCGAGTGTGTGAGTGGCAACCTCAAACCACCGGGTACCAGACTTGGCAAGGTAAGCCCTCAACACCAAACATGCTGATGCAGGATGAGCTGCAAGACGCAAGGGAGCAGGCGCAGCACACATTCAGGGGGGGGCCTCGGCTTCAAGTTCAAGGCTTTGGGGCTTTGGACTTGGGTTTAGGGTAGTTTCGACTACCAGGGTCTTACCCATGCCTGAACTCAGCCCTTGGTTATGCACTTGGCCTTCTTTCGCGTCTTCCCGAATTGCATCCCTGGGAGAAATCTGAAGCGCAAGTTCCTCAATGCAAGGCCTGAGAGCACACGTTGCAATCTTTGCCTGTACACATGATACAATCTTTTATATACAGAACCGTGACTGAACCGTGTATGTATGTATGTATGTATGTATGTATGTATGTATACATACATACATACTTCGGCATCCATCCATACGTACGAAGGTACCTACAGACATGCAGGCATGCGGACAACGCAAACACGCGCCCGAACGTAACATGCGAGCACAACAAGTTAACGCA